TCAAATCATGGGAGAAAATCTTGAGATCTTGTGGCTTGTTGGGGAAACTTTCGGTATATGTTGGACTACTCCGGACACACATGAGATCATCTATCTTAACTGTTGAAGTTCCTTGGTCATGATCGGGCTCATTCCTGTATCAATATCCATAGAGTTAGTATTAAAAGTATTATCATTCACGAAGTTACCAGGATCCTTGTTATTAGGAGTGATGAAGGTTTCATCAGGCTCCTGTATCACATGAGCTCGCTCGCTTGGAATTGCACCCCAATCAGGAGTCAGGGATGGCGTTGAGGATCCTATCTCCCAGTGGTCTCCTAAGGATCCTGTATTGTCAAAGTTTAGGATCTTGGGTTGCAAGATTAAGGGTGCTGCTTCTTGGGGTTTGTAGATCTCCTTGATCATTCTCTCTATTTCCTTTAGCAATGTCTTATTGTTCTCTTGCTGTTGAGTAACTTGCCGTCCTAGTCTCTTCATCATAGAGAAGTGCTCGTTGTTGAAAATCACTACAGGAGGATCCTGAAATCCTTACGTAGTGACCGAAGAGGTTTTTTTTTCCGGTGCCTTTTAAGTATTCTTGGGAGCTCCGCTTGGAGGTGGTGGAAGGTTTTTAGAGGAAATGGGAAGAAGGGAGGAAGAGGATAAGATTGGTTGGGTAGATATGATTCTCGAACGATTGTGAACACCACTCCCCCACGGTATGCGCCAAATTTTTTTGGTAAAAAAATGATCAAATAATATTTAACCAAGGTGTATGAGAGGCTGTGGTGTTTGAGGCAATGCAAATGTCGAATAGTAATCAAAATGAGACAAATGAATTAAAAGGAAAGACCTTGATCCTTCATAGGATCTACAACATAAAACCCTTGGAGGTGATAATGATCATCTGCCTTGTTTTTTTATGGATTTCAATATAAGATTACAGAGATGATGATGATATTACGAGTACAAGTGTAGTAGTAAAGCTAATGTGTGTGTAATACATGTGTATTTATAGTTTAGACTAAGTAACAGTAAGTCTGATATTTGCGGGATCCTATTAAATAAGCATACACATGTTGTTTGAATTGGTATTCATGGGTCTTAAGCCTAGTTGAAGTGATTATTCATTAAGAACGAGTTTCATATTGATTGTTTCTACACATGTGAGAAAAACAAATAGAATATGACCGTTAAGAATGTTAGGAAATAATAATAACAATAGTTAGGATCATGAGAATGGTTTGGGATCCTAAAAGATCTTTAAAGATCCGAGATTCTGAATTTGGTTGAAGATCTTGGCCCTAACAATAATATATTATTCCATGGTCTTCATTAGTGTCCTTGTCATGTTGATCATTTGGTTTGATATTTAGATGTTGAGTGGGATGATTGTCCTTAGACATGTCGGTTCACTTACATGTTCTTTGTTTATCTTGGTGGTAACTTCATTTCTTGGTCTTTGAAACACCAACATGTCGTATATTTGTGAGTACTCGTGTATGGTCAATGTTGTTATATAAGTGACTTAGTTTTAGAACCTCTTACTTGAGTTCAGTTGTCATCTTATGCTACCATTGTTTTATGTAATACTGTTAGTTTCATGCACTTAGTTTCTAACTCACTCCAACACAAATGAAACAAACATGTGTAAATAGATTTACATTTTACTAAAGAACATATTGATATCGGTCATATGTGTCTCTTTCATGTGACCTTTCTGCTTATACATCCTATACAATTATTTATGGACTTTCGGAGTAGTTTGAGCCTTGGAAACCTCTCCAAATTGCCCCCCCCCCCCCTATCTAAAGTAATAAAATGTAGGTATACTTATTTTTCTTTGGGTTATTGTCATTGTAGTCCAACAATGTTTAGTATATTGGTTTAAAAGGTCCCTCGTGAATTTTTTTTGCCTTATAGGGGTACGTACTTATGTTTTACCGTTTCAAAAGGTCATTATCAAAAATATGAAGGGGTCACCCGGTGAACCCCTTCCTAATCATCAGTTTTGATATGCCACGTGGCATTTGGTCAACTGAATGGTCCATGTGGCGCCCATATGTTATCCACGTGGATTTTTCGTATTAAATCTAAACCTTTAAAACTCTCTATCTTTCATAGAAATTCAAAACTCTTTCTCTTTCACCTAAGTTAAATTAAGGATCAACAAACGCTATAAACACTTCAAGAACCTCTACCTTTTTTTCTTTGTACGCAATAGAATCGAACTCCAAGCTCTACTATGTCGGTGGTGAAAAATCTAAAAGCCATTGTTCTCTCCCATTGATTCCTTGATAGCATATTCATACTATCTTCGTTATCCCTTAAAATCAACAAATCAAACACCAAATTCACCCGAAACAAAACCAGATTTGCAACCCTGGCTCTCAATAGGCTTGCTAGTCAGGTCTTCCTTTTCATCACCATCATTATCTGGTAAAGGAGCATCTCTGATAAAGGAGCAGGCTTTCGATTCTTCTCAACGTCCTTGAAGGTAGCCTCGAAGGCAGCTTTAGCCGTTGTGTCTTTCTGAGCTTCGCTCTTTATTTTTGCCTCTTCTGCTTGCTTCATCCATATTGGCTTCACCACAACCAAGTTACGATCAACCATATATACCCAAACCACGAATCACGATCTTGCTATCATAATCAACGAATCGATTAATAACAACCAATAATGAGTTCTGATATAGATAGAATCGACAAAATCAAACATATCCTAAAGTCCTAAATCAAAACCAAAATATAGAATCGACAAAATCAAACATAACCTAATGTCCTAAATCAAACCAAAATCATATTCTGTTACGAGAAATAATTGATTGAAGTTCACCATGTAGAAACACTTAAGCGATTTCTTTAAACGAGAGATTAGGGGCAAAGAGCTAAGGCAAAGTCATGGCGGGGACTATCGGAGCCGGAGTGTAGAACATGGAGTAATGGAGGTAACATGTCGAGAACGCCGAGTGCGATTTGGTCATCTAGAGCAGAGTTAGCAACATGATCTTGTGTCTCTGGGAATCTACCTCTGGAAATGTGGATATCGATTTCAGAGGATTGAGAAGATGAATAACAAAATAGACTAGTGTCCGACAATAGGTGAGGAGTAGTGGAACACGAATCAATGACATCGATTACCATAGAATCCTCCGATGTTGACGATCCATCTGGAGATAACATGAACATTGATAATGATAATGGAAGAGGAAGTGGCAAGATAATGATCTTTAAACAACGTGGGAAACAAGCCCTAAAATGGGTGAGGCTATCATTGAGTCGACTCATTAGTGAGTCTATGTTGACTCACCGGGTTATATGTATTCATTAACCTACTTACTTGGCAAGTGACTAGGCAAGAATACCGGTTAAAATGGGTAAAATGACATTTTCAAACGGTAAAGCACAAGTACGTGCCCCTCAAATGTAAAAAATAATCACGATGGACCATTTAAACCAATATACGAAAGTTTGTTGAACCGCAATGATAATACCCTTTTTCTTTCCATATCGTATAGTGTATGGGGATCAATGTAGAATATTGTATTTATATAATTGTTGTTAATATAAGATCTGACAATGTCTATGAGATTTGACAATTCAATTTGAGACTTCAGTCTTCACTCCAACAAATCTTTAGAGCAGTCAACTCATTATTTGCATTAGATCCTGCATTAAAAGAGTTCATTTTATTTTTTATTAAAAAAATATATTAATGTGATACCTAGATAACTAACTTTCTTTTTGCAAAATAACTAACACCGGAACATTTTTTTCTCAAGTTACCATGCATTATAATTAAGTATATTTTGTCATGTACCATTACAAGAAAAATATTTGTGAACATGGCGTTATGGCTGTTTATCTTATGATATTAACATATTAACTATTAAACAAAATATTAAATGTCCTGTTAACCAATAAAGAAAACAGTTTTAGATCTTGACAATTAATCCAGTTCGAACCTAACCATCTTTATAATAAAATTTCAAAATTTAAAACAGACAAAAAAAAAAAAAAAAGGTAAAAAGAAAATAAATAAATAGACCAAGAGGAAAAAGAAAAGTAGGGAAAGAGTAGGAGGAGCATGTGTGAGTGTGAGTTGAGAAGTTGAAATGAGAATGAAAGTCAATGAGAGAGGAGAGTAAAAGCATGGCACGTGACAAGGAGATGATGAAACGTGCGGCCATGTGCAGTCTCAATTAAGGGTCAACATCTTGCTCTTCTTTCGCCCATATCGCATTTATTAGCTTGGTCTCTTTTCACTATTATTCAAGTCTCAGTCCCACCATATCCTCATTTTTCCTCTTCGCCGATTTGCTATTACCATTTAACCCATTCACATACCTATCTATCTAACTATAAACCACCCTTTTGGTTTTAGATAAAACCAGTTGCTTTTCAATCCGACTCACTGAAGAAATAAAAAACATGCTTTATGTATAAATCATTTTACCAAAAAAAAAAAAAAAAAGTAACATCCCCTTGTTCATGTTGGGTAGACATATCTTTTATATATCATCTTTTTAAGTTGAGATTTTAATGTCTACGTGATATAACTGTATAATCTTATACATAGTCATTTTAATAGTTAACTAATGATCTTATATGGAAAAGTAAATCATAAACGTTTAAAAATAAGAAAAAGAATGCTCAAAGTGATATCTCGTTTGTAGAAATTTATCTTATAGTTATTTGGATAAACATGCATGTATTTGGCTTTACTTTGGAAACATGGGAAGTAATCATGACATTGCTAGGAACAAGCATCTTAATATATTCAATTGATAGCTATCCAACAACAAAGGTGGAATAAAGTACTAAGCATATATATGATTTAAATGAGTCCTATGCTTTTTCTAAGCAAAGGAATCATCACAATTCAACACACTATCTTTAATCTACTAGCTAGATCCTTTTCAAAAAAAATTAAATAAAATATAAACCAAAAATCAAAAAAGAAGAAGAAGCAAGCCAACACATATATCGGGAAAAAAATCCCATGTACAATACAATACTTGAGTCCTGAGTAAACTCAGTCACTTCGATTCCGAGTCAACTCAATGGTGTTGTGGAGGTGGCACTGCAGGTTTACACTGATAACACTTAGCAAATAACCCAAACGTATCGACCTGTCTGACAAAGTTGGTGACACTGGCCCATCCACCAAACCCGAACCCAACCACAAAAACCCAAACCACGATAAATAGGTTGACCGCATACATAGCCGCCCAACTTGGTATGAAGCGAGGAGGTTTTTCCGCAGCATTCTACAAATAATTTCACGAAAAGTTAAGGTTGAGGGACTGTTTTTGACATTTTGGATATAGTTGAGGGAATAAAGTACGATGTCAACATTTGGGCAGCTCATTTCGGACATAATACAACAGTGGGACTGTAGCATATAACTAAATGGAAAAAGACTTGTGACCAATCTAGTCCTAGTCTACCAATATTTCCAAATCTAGCCTTAAATGCAATTGTACCTTTTTTCTTTTTAATTATATGGTAAATCTCTCATTTTATATGTGCCTAATTATCAATTTTACGGTAAATAAGCAAAAAATAAGTTCAAAAAAATATATTCTCCAAGTAAAGAAACGAATCTCTATTATAAACAATCTATATGTGCATATCAAAAGTAATCCCATATTGATTATATAAATTTAACTACTTTAGATAAAAAAAAATCATGGACAAGTCCAAATCAGAATATTGGTTGAGAAAGAAACTATACAACCAGTGACACTTTAATGCTGGTAGTGACCATTCTGCCCCTTTGATAGCAAGGTAATTACGACGTGCCACTGAAGAAAGTAACTTAAATGCGACTTTTTTGGGAACAAAAATATCTGTTGAATTAGGAAAAGTTTTTATGAAAATAGGTCCTTTTGATTTCTTTTGCAAATTTACAGGATAGTTCCAACTCGCATTTATTACTAACACTATTATTCCACTCCATTATTGGAAATTTTATACTGTTATTATGTTTATCTATAAATTTATTTATTGAAAATAATTCTACCTGTCGAGCTGATGCCTTTCGATAAGTGAGCATATGGGCAAGGGCAGGGATAATGTAGACTGTGAAACTGACCAAGAGTGCACCGACTGCAGAATTGATAGGCCCAAAAAAGGGGAAGATGATGGCCAAGAACCAAATTGGTATGACCACGGGCAGCCTTGCAAGTGCCCGTAAACATATGCTCTTTGTGTCATGCATCCCAATCACCTTCTCCCACACAAAATATAACGGCGTGCAGGCAAATCCAAACGTAATAAACTGTTCCACATCATATCTCAGTCAGTTATCAGTTATCTGGTTATATCGGTATATCTGTGTACTTTTATTTTTTGTGATTTAATTAGTTTGACTTTGACCTGATGAATGAGCATTAGAATGACGGCGGTATCACGCCAACGTGTCTTGGGAAGGAGAGAGAAAGCGTTTGAGTGGTTGAGAAGCTCGTCACCAAACGCCCAATAAACCGCGGTAGCTGACGGGAGTGTTAACGTGAAAACATACAGAGTGGCAATTAGGTAAATATACTTGAACTTTCGGGGTTTCCACATCGCATGCATTATTTCCCTGTATTAAAATTTAAATCAGATCAATTAAAAGAATTAAACAAGTATATATCTATTTAATATGCAGGTCCCGTTTGTTACGCATGATTAAACAAAGTACAAAGTACAGCAAGTTGTACTATATTTTGCATTATACTCGAAACAATGAATGTCGATTGTACAAAAGACATGAATACCCTTAGTATCATGGTTAATTATAAAAGGTATCTTTTAAAAAGGAAAATCCGATATAAGTCGTATTTCGCGCTATATAGAAAATAGGCAAATCTAATGATTCAAATGCCAAAAACATGAAGGATTTTTTTTGGGGTATGAAGTATGAACATCGGATCCAACAATAAGTTAAATGACGATAATGCCCTCAGATTCATTATTAATAATTGGGATGGGAAGTCCACTCCCCTCCATGTGCACCGCTTTCAATCAAAATTCATTGCAAGCCAACCTTTTTCTCTAAAACATGGGATGAGATATGAGATGCTTAAATTATTGTGAACGTAGGTCCACCACCACCTTAATAGTTTTAATGTAATATGAATCTAAATAGAATAAAATAATAAAAGTATCTTAAAAAACTAATTAATCTTTAAATATTTAATACACATTTTTTTGTTGCATTATACAGTCTTTTTCAGGCTCATTAACCAAGGTGGCCGGCAAAAGCTGCAAACAGAAGCCGCGTAGAAGAAGGAAACCAAGAAAGTGTGGCTTTTCAACGATTAAAAAGTTTCACATTTTATAAACCAAAACCATTTTCTTTTTACATATATTTCTTTTCGACTTATCCAAAACAACGTACAACTACTAATCCGAAATGTACAAGTCATTAAAGCTTACACAGTAACCGCATGTCCACCAAATGTGTACAGTATGTTTGTGGCGCCGGTGAAATACAAGACCAGCTTTTTCGGACCAGAGTGTTGAACCCCATCAACCTGTAATTATCATGTTCGCCTGTAACTGTAAGTCCTTTCCATTTAAAGAAATCCCATATGCGAGATCTTGATCTTACTTTCTATATATAGTATAACTTATTTTCATTTTCATTTTCATTTTATCTAACGTTATAATAAAATATTTAATGTTATAAATAAATTAAAAAAATACCTGGCCATGAATTATAGCTGCAATGGTCATATACCACGCGGTGTAAGTGGTCATGCCAAGACCAAGAAAAGACCAAATTCTGTAGTTGTGGAAAGATGGAATGAACACCGTGGTTGCGCAACATGCTCCAAATATATATGTCCATGTCCTTTTGTCCAAATGGTCGTTTATGTAGTATATATTACTAACATTTTTACACAAAAACAAAATAACAGTCAATTTTTTAATTTTTTTTTTAATTATAATTTTATATATTTGAGGTCAAAAACAAACCTTGCACAAGCGATGAGTTGTATGACGGAACCAAACAGAAGAAAAGTGCAGTTGAAAGCCAGTCCTATTGCTTTCCAGTAAGGTCCCAATAATCCATCAAGAACTTCAAACCACTACACCAATACAACACATGAATTATATTAATATTAATTAAATAATTTGTGTTTTGTTACTGAAAAGATTGTATTTATACGGATTAATGTGAAAATGATTTTTTTTTTTGACGTTTAACTAGAAAGAAAAATGTCAAACGGTTTTAATAATTAGTCAAATCATGTTTGAATAGTTATATTGCAATATGGTAATTGTGTTATTATTATATTAGAAAATTAAGATGAACCTGTATGACATGGTTTTTGAAGCTGATTCCTTCTTTCTCTTTTCGGCTTCTGTACTCGATGTAAAGAACGCTGATGAGATAAGCTGTCCAGCTTCCGAGAAGACCATAGAAGACTTGAAGAACAATTCCTGAAACCATACCCAGTTGAGAAAAAGAGTATGGTAGTGTTAACAGAACTTGTGCCACCTGCATAAATAGTTGTACATTCAAGATTCATGAAAAAGAAATGTTTTTTTTTTTTTTGATTGGGAATCTTGTTGTTTAATTACTTGATTTGAAGAGCAACTAAACCAAGCATCCCAAGAAGAGCCTCCATGCCAAAGAGCATTTTTCATGGAGAAAACCGAGTGATCTTCTTCTTCGACGCCTTCTGCTTTCCCTCCTCCTTCATGTTCGTTTTCGTTGAAATTAGATGAGATTATCGAATCCTCTGCTTGTTTTTGACCCGACATTTTCTTCGATTTCAGATAAAAAACTTCCTTTTATTCTCTTTTCTAAACGGATCTGTCAGCACATGTAAGGACAAATAAATTAGGATTAACAAAAACGCATCAATTCCCAGATCCAGAAATCAATGCCAACGAAAAAGAAAAAAAAAAAATTGTGTTTTTATAAGAACGAAAACAAAATAAACACTTCGGTTTTACCTTATTAAGTCTCCATCTCCGAAACCCAGCTCTTAAAGGTACAAAAATCCGGACGATTTATGACCTTTTGGATTGTTTTGTATGTATATTAATGTTTGTATGCGAAACACAGATAGTGCTCATTCAGACATTTATACAAACACAAGGCGGTTGTGTAAAGAAGAGCTCAAAAGTAGCAGAGAGAGAGAGAGAGAGAGAGAGAGAGAGAGAGTTTATGATGGGATTGGAAGTGGACATATATAGAAACCAATTTCTCCCTTTTCTTGGGGATTTTATGTTGAAAATTATGATTATTTTATTAAGAGTGAGAAAAGGAGTCGGATTCACTGTTCAGTATCTACAGCCGATCGGATCAAATAGGGTTTGGTTTGGAAATGAAAGAGAGAGAGAGAGAGAGAAAAAAAAAAAAAAAAAAAAGAGGGTTTTGAGGGTGATAGTGGATGGTATAGCTGTATCAGTATGCTCCATTGCTCCTTCTCACGCTCTTTCTTCTTTATAAGACAATCATAAACCCTTGTTAACGGCTCCAAATCATGCTAATATAGTCAAATTCAGATTATACCGTTGATCTAAATTTTCCACATTCGAGGGTAGATTATGGCTTTTAAGGATGCAATAATACAAGATATTATTTAATATTAGTTTATGAAAAGATCTAAAAAAATTCTTTTTAAAGAAAGTTATAAATGACAAAATCTCAATTAATGATTACGTGTTTTATTTATTTTTAGCTATTAAAGGAATGTTCTAGTAACGTTAAGATTAATTAAACACAATAACTAAATTATCATTATTTATCTGATACTGCTAGATCTATATCTCTCGTTTGGATTACATAAACCTTTGGTGTTCATATTAAGAGTACATATAACGTTGACTAATTGGAATAAGTCGGTGTGAATTCATCAAGATATGATGATATGGATCAGTAGTTCATTACACATGATGTATGAGCTTGATTATATGCGAGTGTCTTGTCTTTGTTCATAGACTGTCGATGCATTGCTTCATAGATGTGAAAAAGTTATATCATGAGATAAGTCTAGGTTTGTTTGACTAATAACCCTAAATGATAATACACCTAAGACTATTTATTGAAACATTTAAGTTGAGTAAATTTTATAAAAGTGAGATATTTTTTGAAATCCCTTTAATTTGAGACCAAACCTAAGTGCCTAAGATGTGTATGCATGCAAGATTCCACCATGACCTACATTAGTAGAAGAGAAAGTGGAGAATACAAATATCAAGTCCCCAAAATCTTTTATACGACCTCGGTGCTCGTGCTCGACGAGCCCACTTTTGTTATCAAGAGAAAATCTTATCGGAGGATAATTGTGGCACAAAGAGCATGTCATGACCATCACCCCATCGCTCGTCCACAACCTTAAATAGTTAGCTCCATGCCAGACATATAGTATGAAACCGACTCTTATATTACGAAATACAATATTTTCAACTCGAACAGATGATGCATACTACACTGACGATGGTCATACCGAGCAAGCAATCTCCAAGCCCGAAAATCCATACATACAATCAATATGTAAAGATAGTGTTGGAATGCAAGAGTTCATGAATGTTACTCACTAAGTTTTACGGTTTTTATGGTATTTGAAATTAGCTTGCAATTAAAGAGAATAGATATAAGATCACTTGTATTGATGATTATTGTAGCACCTTACTCATGTCAAGTTTCTTTTTTTTATGTATTTGTAATTTTGACATATATTGATATGAAACACGGCGGGTGTACTTGGAAAACAAATATTTGGATGTTTGTAATATATATATATATATATATATATATATATATATATATATATATATATATATATATATATATATATATATATATATATATTGAATTAGTTGTTACTCCTAACAAAAACTTGAAAATGTAAGGATTGATATATATATGGGTTGGTATGGTACAACCGTGATATTCAAAATTTTGTATCGTTACCGTACCAAGACTACTTAATTGGTATGGTATTACCGGCCAAACATATTGGCTACCAAACATGTTGGCTACTGATTTTATTGGTTCGGTTGGTAACATGTTGGTTGGTTCTCCGTAGTACATTTTCGCCAGCCCTAATAGAAAGAGTAGATGATGAAATTGATGTCATTGCCTACTACTTAAATGACTAATTTATTATTAATGACCAGCAATAAGACAAATATATAACCAAAACTTTCAAGCACACAATCCAAATGACTATAAACTTAAAAAATTTATACACTAACTAAATAAATGAATATGTAACAATTCTATCAAAGAAAGAGTATTTCTATAACGTTGAGATTTTATACCTTAAAAGCACGTAAAACTTAAATGTACATGCCATTTCAAAACTATACTATTGAAGAAACATTCAAAACAGCTAATGACTGATAGTATTTTCCAAAGATATTAGGAAATCCCACCATCAAATCACCTTGCTCCAAACTACAACCGCCACTTTACAATTCAGCAATAACGAATTTTGAAAACAATATACATACTTTTTTCACGTACATCACAAGATCCCATATCACACCCTACCACCTGAATGACCTCCGGGACTACTACATGTAAAGTCAAATTGATAATCGTCCCATTGAGATTTCACCTTGAACATATATAAGTGACTCATCAAAGTTTCTTGAATACAAAGAAATTTCACTCATTACCAACTCCTCAAGCATTAAAAGAAAGAATATTCATTGATGAACGTTAGTTTCATCCATTCGACTTAATAATGTATTCATGTCTCACTTGCACCTTTTCACCACATATCTCATAATTGTTCCTGGTTCAATCAAAATAGAAAACTCTTCCATACTACAACCCCTTTTCTTTCTTTTTTCGTTATAACTTCTGAATCTTTGAACCCATCCAAGCATTATGATCCTTAGATATTGCTTCATACCATTAGGGCAATATTGATTATTGATTATATATATATATATATATATATATATATATATATATATATATATATATATATATATATATATATATATATATATATATATATATCTTTACTACTTATAAAAGAAATCTAACTATTTCTATAAATAGATTGAATATAATAATATTATTTTTTTAAGACGTCCAAACTATTAAGCTTGAAGTACAACTCATTTATAATATAATAATATTAAAACTTTAACCATATCCTTTATCCCTTAAAAATCTCGTATCAAATTAATAGAAGAATTCATTTGCAAATTGAACCCGTCAATCTCAACACTTCAACCATTTGAAGCGGTCAATGTCAACAATTTATAGAGGATCTCTTCTCTCACATTGGTAACAAACAATCTCATAATATCTATCTTCGTAATCCCTTCAAAGTAAGAAATATACGCACACTCTCTCGAAAAACCCTAACCAGTAACCAAGACAGTATAACCACCACCACCACAGCCGCTCTGCCTCCTTTCGCCTTCAATCAACCACTATCACGACTACCACCCTTCCTCTCACCCACGACACGAACTTTCTTTTGGAACATAACATTTTTCTTTAAAAAAATATCGTTGAAAGAAGCTATTTGTCCCCGCCGCTGTGCGCGGGTAACGGCTAGTATATATATGTATATATATATATATATATATATATATATATATATATATATATATATATATATATATATATATATATATATATATAAAGGGAGGTATCTATGAAAAATGAATGTTTAAGGCAAATACATATTGAAACCAATAAAAACATGATAACACGTCACCTTAGAGTAAACTACATAAATAACTCTACAATATATTATTTATGAATAAAAAAATGAATACTCACATTAAGGTAAATAATCCAATGGTTTAGTCGTCCTCTCAGATGGTCATTACTTGCTTAGTTGCTTACTAATTGTTCTTACACAATTACTGTTCTATAAAAGATTAAAAACATGTCAAAGGAAAAGAAATGTGTATTAATGTCAAGTCTGAGAGCATTATACAAAAAATAAATATTTTTAACAATAGATGTAACATAAATAACTATATAAATCTATAGATATTAATATAAGATTGTATGAGAACTTGCTAATATATGAGTACGACATGTGAAATAGCTTAATGTTATTATTAGTAACTTGTATACGTTAGGATCATTTATAAGAAAAAAATGTTATTGTAATGTTAGAATTTATAGGTACAAATAACAATAATTTGGATAATCTCTTGAATCGTGTTGTGGAATTTACTTTCTGAAATTTGCAATTCGACCCTTATTCATGTGCTTATACGAATGTAGATTCATAGGATATTTCAAGAGATCAAAACACATTTCAGGATCAAACTGATTTACAAACACATAATACATTGTTTGTTATGTGTTCTTTGGGATAAAGAAATGCAAAGTGATTGATTTTCGAGTATCAAATAAAAACTTTTGCATGAAACGCTCATCTTCCTTTTATGTAAGGTAGATGCCGACTGGAAGTTGATTATCTTCCTTCTTGGCCCCAAAAGGTGGTTAGAATGGTGGTTATACACTAAATTGGTGCCAAAAGTGGTTCGTTGAGGATGGTTATAAAACAAAACCTACTATTACATTATCATGATGTCATTGAGTATATTTTGGCAATGCAAGTGCGGACTCTTTTTGTTATAAAACATAACCAACCACCGTGCCCCTTGGAGCCTTGTACCTGGGGGGCGCTGCCTTTAGACATCCATATTTCGGAGTTTACATATAACTCCAAGTGTGCACCTACACCTCCGATCTAGTAACTAAATAGTGTTCAGTCTATCTCGATATTATAACTACACAAAAGTATGTTGACAACGTTCAAAATCGTCAAAATAAAAATATTATTATTTATTTCATTTAACTAATTTAGAAATCATAATCTATTAAAAAAAAGATGAGTTGTTGCAATTGTTTAAAACAACTTATGGGGAATGTTATCATGATTTAGAGATTTAATTAATGTGAAATTGTTATATAAAAGCAAATCCCACCCATCACGAAGCATGAAAAAACAACGATTCAATACGTCATAATGATGTAAAATTTTGAAATATTAGAGAAAGCGTTTCATACTTTCCGCTTATTTTTTCATCAAAATATTGAGTACTCGTAAGAAAATATGAACCATCCGTCCTCAAACATGAACGTTGGTACTTTCACATTCCATTATATATTGTCTATATATGTTCGACATCTTATTAAATAATAATCAATAGCTATAATTGTTTTGTTTACTTCTTTTGAATTTATAAGATGTTTGTTATAATTCAATTATATCAATGACGAGTTTAGAACTTAAATTCACATGGTTTGTTATTTAAATGAAATTGATAGAAAATAGAAAGTAAATAAATAAATACTAGTTGAATTTGCATCTGATCGATTCATACTAGGGATGAACATCGGAACCGGGTATCCGCTTTTGAAATCGGAACTGCCTCGGAACTGGAACTGCCTTAAGCGGTTCCGGTTCCAA